AGGGGGGATGTCTACTATAAAAAATGACTCTTAATTTTTTGTGTTAAAGAAATTAATCTCTCTTTTACGTGACAAATGGTTGGAACTTATCTACGTTTGATTTGAGGATTTTAAGGATGTTATTGCAAGGATTATTTTTGAGAGTGTGGTACTAGCAAAGCAATCAAAAATCCATAGGGATCTATTATACTCTCACTTTCTTTTCACAATGTTGTGCTCACAAACTCTGTGTTCGTATATATATATATATATGTATATATATATATATATATATATATATATATATATATATATATTTTTTTTTTGTTACAACTTACATTTGAGTATTCCATTTGGATTTATAGATGTATTATGTAGTTAAATTCTTATTTTCAGTCTACAATTTGATTGGAAGAAGTATCTGTTTTTGGGTCAACATGTTCCTCCTGGCGCATCGAGTGCGAGAATATTTTTGTTTATAACTGATGTCACGATCCAAAATCTATTATAGGCCGTGATGGCGCCTAACGTCGCCGTCAGACAAGCCAACGGTGAATTTTTAAATTAATTACTCATTTAATATTTTTTAAATCATAATTCCCATTAAATAAATAACGTAAAAATCTGGTACTCGGTCAATCCAAGATCCTTTTTACCAATTTCCGTATAAAGTATAAATTATAAGATAAAATGATAATAATTACGTGATTACAATAATGAATATCCACTAGGAACCCCCAAAACTCGGTGTCAAGTTAGACAGGAGAATGTAAGTAACTCTCATTTGAAACTTTGTATGTTGTGGATCGTAACATGAAATGCAGCGCACTATAAAGTCCCCGCAATAGCCGCGCCTCTGCGCCCAAAAGACCAACAGAAATATATATATATACCTGCACAATAAGTGCAGAAGTGTAGCATGAGTACGTGAATCAACGCGTACCCAATAAGTATCTAGCCTAACCCGGAAAAGTAGTGACGAGGGGTCGATATCGACACTTACTAGTGGTCCAATATATCAAGTGCAATAGAAAGTAAACAAGTATGAGGCATGGTAAAAGTAAATAAACAGTGTAAACAGATATAGGTACCCAATACGATCCTCCTCTGAAATACAAGCTCTCAATTATCGATCACATCCTCAACCAGAGTATACATGAAGAATGGTCCCCACCAGATAGATCGCCATAACTCAATTCAGGAAAGCTCACGGATATGATGGCTTCTTGTCAAATATTACGCATGACGTTGCCAAGTCGATCAACCCGATTTTATAAGACTATTTATAGAAATGTCGAGGCGAACGGCCCGATCCTATAATAATGTGTGCACTGCCGAGGGTCGAACGACACAAACCATATATGCATCTATTTTACTGCCGAGGCGAACGGCCCGCTCCCATGAGAATATGATACTGGCGAGGCGAACAACCCGATCCCATTAGAATATGAAGTTTTAACGGGTCCTTGACCACACTCACAAAGATACGTGTGAGTTATGAAATGTAAAGAAGCTTTTAAATGAAAAGGCACAATGCGAGAGAAATTGGTAAGGAAAAACACAATTATTCTGCGGCTAATCAAGTAGCTCGTCGAAACTCTACAATAGCGAGTCCATCACTCTACGCAAGCCTAGTCTCAGGTCGCAACGCGAAATAAGGGAATTATACCTGCAAGGATAACTCAAATAATACAATTAAAGCATGACGTGGACCTAAGTCTACCCGGATATAATCAAGCACTCTAGCTTACGCACGGACACTCGTCACCCCATACGTACGCAGCTCCCACAATATGTAGCATACAACAAGAACAGCACTTACGTGATAAATTTTCCCTCACATGGTTAGACATGAGACTTACCTCGCTCCGAAGTTCCATAACCATCTCCAACGCCTCTCTAGCTCCTAAAACTAATGCCCATCTGTCCGAAACTAGTCAAATAATGTGCAAACCAGTAAAAATATACTCTAATACTCATAATTAATCAATTTATAACAATCTACAACTCCGCTCGAAAGTCAATAAAGTCAACCCTCAGACCCACGTGCCCAGATTCTAAACATTTTCGAAGATAAACTTTACCCATAACATTACGAACTCAAATACATATTTTATTCCTAACTTCACTTTCAAAATCATGGTTAAAATCTGAAATATCAATTTCTAGGTTTTCTCTTAAAATCCCAAAATTCTCACAATTTTCCATGTATTTACAAGTCCAAATTCGTATAGTTAACTCACAACTTGTAAAAATTACTTACCTCATGATAGACGATGAAATGATGCTCCAAAATTGCTCCAAGGTCGGCTTCCATGGAAGAAATGAAATGAAATGAGCCAAAACCCACGTACGTATCAAGGCCCTCTGCCCAACGATCATCGCACCTGCGGTCACTTGACCGCATCTGCGATCCCGCAGGTGCGGCAAAAATTCTGCTTCTGCGGTTCCCTTAAGGCCTCCCCTCCTCCACATTTGCGGGCAGGCTTTCGCACCTGCAAAGGCGCACCTGCTCCCGTTCCTCCGCTTCTGCGGAAATACCTCTCCTTCCCCTATTTCGCTTCTTCAACCAACAGTCCGTACCTGCGAGCTCGCAGGTGCGGTGGATTCCTCGCACCTCCGAATCTAGCTAACCTCACTCCCCTCCGCTTTTGCGACCCCTTTGGCCGCTTCTGCGAGCTCGCACCTGCGGCCCTTTCCACGAAGGTGCGATTGCACCAGATCTCAGTTGCCTCAGCAATTCTTCCAAGTCCAAACTCGATCCGTTTCCAATCCGATTCGCACTCGAGGCCCCCGGGACCCAATCCAAACATACCAACACATCCCAAAATACGATATGGACTTAGGCATAGCCTCAAACCACGTCAAACAATATCAAAATTATGAATTGACGATCGAAACCTTTCTATAAACTTTCAAACATTCAAACTTCGCCGAACGTGTCCGAAATATACTTAAACATTTCGGAATGACGCCAAACTTTACGTGCAAGTCACAAATCATGATACGGACCTATTCCAAGGCTCGAAAACCCAAACGGATATCGATAATACCAAAGTTCACTTCTAATCAAACTTAAGAAATTCTAAAACCTTCAAAATGTCAATTTTCTACAATAAGCGCCGAAATGCTTCCGGACCACCCGGTACTCTTCTCAAACATACGCCCAAGTCTGAAATCCTCATACGAACCTATTGGAACCTTGACATCCTGATTCCGAGGTCCTTTACTCAAAACTCAAACCTTAGTCAACTCTTCCAACTTAAAGCTTCGAGATAGAGAATTTTTCTTCCGAGATAACTCCGAACTTCCCGAAATTCAATTCCGACCACACGTATAAGTCATAATACATAAAGTAAGCTAATCAAGGTCTCAAACTGCCGAACGATGCGCTAGAGCTCAAAACGAGCAGTGGGGTCGTTACAACTGAAAATGCATTTGTACATTTTATTATTTCTCCTTCTAAATCTGAAAACATATTATCAGATACGATATATGTCGTTCTTACATGATGTGTTCGACAATTTTATTTTTGTTATTTTTGTGTAATATTGCTTTTATTTGATATCTTAAATTTTCCTAAAATAAATAGGCCTAATGATAAATTAAAAATAAAATGGTCTAAAAGAGTGTAGAAGGAATTACTAACTTCTTCTCTGCTCCTCCTCTTTGTGCTTCTTCTCCTTTCCCATCTTCTCCTTTGTCTTTCATTTTTGAGAAATGATGTGTTTATCTGTTTTTGCCTTGATTGTTTAATGGTATCACCCATATTTTGTATTCTTTGAATTAATATAATCTTATAAAATTATAAAAATACAAACGCAACTAAACGTTGAGTTAGACTTTGATTAAATATTGTAGAAGTGAATTTTCCTTAATTTTTATTAAGTATTTTACAAGTTATATATTCTTTCTTTGTCCTTTAATACCTTATTTTGGAAATTTAATGATACTCCAAAAACAAAAGTAGAGAAAAAGATTGAAAATGAAGGATAAAGCAAAGATGTTACAGAAATACAAAAATTTAACCTTGACCTTGTAGGTTTTTTGTTTTCAAAATTGAATTGTTTAATAGTGATGGTATCATTTTATGGCATGATGTAAGGTATCAATATATGGAACGTAGTACAACAATGCACCAATGTTGACATTTAATGTTCATTTAAGTATATTATTTTGATTAATTATTTAATTTTATTTTCATCAATAAAACAAGATTTCCTCTTGTAATTTAAACCTTCAAATTAGCTCAATAACATTGTTGTAAAGGAGCAAAGTGTACGCTTCCATGTGTATAAAAAAAAAAGAGAAAGCGAGTCTTGAAGATTTTAGAAAGAAGCAATCAACCTTGAAAATGTAATTAGACCACAGTTATGGTTTATGGTTGAAGGATATAGAGATGATAAAATTGAACAAAGAGTAAAGATTTATTTTTTAATTATAAAGATTTAACAATAAATTTTCTTTATATTTATTTTTAAAAGATCGCGCGAAGCCCGGACAAATTGATTAGTTTATTGATAAACATATGGTCGATTGTTTTCTGGTCATAGATGTTTGCTAGAATTGGGGCTTATTTTTCTTTATCTGATCATAATTTTAAAATTATTAAATGTGACATTGCATATTTTCATGTAGGTAATATGAGGAGGAAATCAGCTGCTAAGAAGCATATTCCTTTGACAAAGCCTTCATAGCCTTCAAACAGGGAAAAAAATACAGAAAAAGAAGCATCGCCAAGTAAAGCAATTTCTGAGCCTTCAAAAACTGCTACTAGAAAACGTAAAGTAGATACTTTTAAAGTTTTCCCTAGTAAAGGAAATGCTGAGATTTCTAAGCGTGATAGGAGAAAAAAATAAAGAGCCATCAAAGTCTATCAGTAAAAAAGAACAAGATCAAAGTCTAGATTAGTTGACGAGGACATACTTGTTAGTAAAAAATCTGTTTCAAGAAAGTTAGCATTAGAGGGTGTTGATGATGAGGAGGAAGAAGACTTGGACATAAATGTAACACAAACTCAAATGGAAGAACATGTTTCTGAAAAAATAATTGTTGAAGAAGAAAATGACAGTTATAATGAAGCTTTAGGTGTGGAGGATGATGAAAATGGTGATGATGATGCTCCGGAATTTGATAAAGATGTTGAAGAAGAAAAAGAAGAAGAAGTAGCAGAAGAAGAACATGTAGCAGCAGAAGAAGAAATAACAGATGAAGAAGATGAAGAAGAAGATGATGAAGATGATGAACAACTTGAAGATGGTGAAGATGGACTGGATAGTGAAAGAGATGCAGCCGTTGAAGGTGACCGGGATGCTCTGTCAATTCCTGTGTTTGTAAGGGCGATCGACGTATCCAAATACAGATTCATGACTTTTCTAAGAAAGCATAGCCGTTCTCTGGCCAAGATAAGTATGAGGTATATGATCAATGTATTCCACGAGTTCAGGGATAAACGTAGAATAATCAAATTGATGGAAAAGTTTAATAGTGGTTGTTTTGGTTAGTTTGCAAAACTTTCAGAGCACTGGACACAGTTTAATGGATAGCTTATTCATTCCCTACTGATTCGCCAAATTTATTGCGCGAAGAAGTGCGAGTTATGGTTTTTAGTTGGAGACAAGCCTGTTCACTTTGGATTGAAGGAATTTTCTATGATGATTGGATTAAACTGTAGCTCCAAACCAAGTAAAGAAGCAATGAAGAAAGTCATGGATGATGGCCAAGCATTCTGCGATAAAGTTTGCCAGTATAGCAAGAAAGGGGTGGATGCAGAGTTGCTTTTGAAACAGTTGAAGTCCAAGAGGCTTTACACAGTCGAGAGGTTTAAGATTACATTGGTGTGGTTGTCCATTCAGTCTTGCATACAAGGGATAACATAGCGCGCGTCGATAAGAAGTGGATTCGTATGGCTAATAATCTGGAATTTTTCATGAAATATCCATGGGGCAAGGAGTATTTTGAACTTACAATTGAGTACTTGAAGAAGGACATGTTGACGATATACAAATCATATGTGAGCAAGAGGAAGGAAAACAATATCCTTGGTAAAAAGTCCAAATCAGCTAGTTATGTCTTGTACGGCTTCCCATGGGCATTCATGTTAAGTATTAAAATAACCTTCTCAAATTTCTTTGCAGTTGAGACTATTATTTTATTTACTATAGAATGAAATTAATACTTTTTGGTTCATGAAAAATTATAGGCACGGGCATACGAAGCAATTCCGTTATTTGGTCGTAGTGCCGAGAAATCAAAGGTCGTACCGATGCCGCTGCCAAGGATGTTGAGATGGCATAGCAAGAAAGTGACATCTGACCCTGATGATCCCTTTTAGCAGAGATTTGATGACCCTGGTATAGTAATATAGGGAGTGCAATAACACTCCACCAGTAGATTAGAATCAACCAAAGTAGGAGATTATCATAGACCTCGTATATATTATTTTGTATTGCTTGTGTAATGACTTCTATCTGTGATATATTTCAGGAGGTGCACCCTTACCTTATTTCTGCCCTACATGAGATGGATATGGACTACATGAAGAATTTGATAGCATACGATGATGAGGTAGCGGATCCTATAATCGACCAGCTAGCGGTTGATTTGGAATGGGTGGCTGACATTAAAAAAAAGCACCTGGCGCAGCGAGCTTAGAGACTAACGTTGAAGCTGACATTGCTGATGATGACCCTTTGGGTGGGGGTATTCCTGGTTCACCACTAGTTGATAGTTTTTTTGATATTGGTAGAGGAGGACCATGCAGGATGTGCAATGCTCAACCAAGTAATACAGATGTGCGCGAAAAGGTGAAGGTTATGAGTGAGAAATTGGAGAAGGCGTTGAAGATCCTTAGGGAGATGCAAAATCAGAATGAGAGCCCTTCTAAAGTAGTTGATTCACCTTGGTACAGAGTTACAAGATTGCAAAACAGATTGAGGAATGCTCCAATTTCTGCAAGCAAGATGAGGAAGCTGAAACAGAGCAAGAAGAAGAAACCAAAGGTAGACATACTCAAACCAGTTTCGGAGGAAGATAAGAAACTATTCTATGAATGGTTTGACAAGAAGGAGAAGTTTCCCAAAAACTTGTTGAGTGGCAACTATGGCTGGAGGTTTTTCGAGCAGTTGTACGGTGCTAACCCGTCCGTTTTAATTTTTGTAAGTCCCTTAATCACTTACTGCATGTATTTTTATTATTTAGTAGCTCCATATTTAACGTACATTTTGTTTATAATATTTAGCATGTGGAGAAACTTTTGGCACTGATGTGTGTACGAAACATAAAAGTCCACGCCTTTATGCCCATAGTCATGTTGTTATGGATGTTGCATTATGCAACAATATGTGCACTGCATGGGATAAGATCAAGGAGGCTTCCAGTAAAGAGGGAAAGGATTTGAACTTTTGTGAGATAGTTGATGTTTGTCAAGACTCGTGTCTTACACCCCTAATGCTATATCCTCAAGGAAGTATGCCAAAATCTGGGGCTGTGGAGTGGTGCAAGGCTAAGTTGTTATACTATGTGTGGCAAATTGATACCAAGTATTTTGTGCCTGTTGTTTTCTACTTGACAGAGGGTTTGATTTGAATTTGCGATAGCAATGTCAGTTTGTATGATGATGGTAAACTAGAAGAACCGGTACAACCCCTCGCACTCGTCATTCCTAGGATTTTGATGAAACTGGCTAGTTTGCAAATTTAGGCCAAGGTGTGGTTATGAAGAAATGGTCCTGGGATCGTATTATGGATGTGCCAGCCATTCAGCAAAGGTGAATTAAATGTATCATCCATTATGTTATACTCATTCTTCTGGTTTCTTTAAATATTAATTGTGTCTTTGATTATTGTAGTAAAAACAGTGAAGCATATGCAGTGAAGGTTATTGACTTCCTGCTAACGGATATGCCACTGGATCATCTTAATGACAAGCGCATGAAGTTATTCAGGGAAACATTTGCAGTTGATATCTTCAGGGGAAGGATAGGCCCTTCTTAGTTTTATAATTAAAATTTCAAGTTTTGTTAGTCATGGGACAAATTCATTTTGGGTGAACTTGTAGTAATTTATGATATTAACTGTTGATGCTATAATTTTTGTTTTCTTAATTGCATAATAGATAATGTGTCTAATAATAAAATAGCTACTTACAATGTGTCTAGTACTAATAACTTGATCAAATATAACATTGCATCAGGCATAACCCAGAGGTTGCGTAATAGACACCGGTCCATCAATAAACTAGCGACTTGGTTGCGTAATATACTCAAGGTCACGTTTAATAACTTCAAAGAATTTAACATTACATCATTAGAACATTACATGATCCAAAATACTTCCAACAAAACAATGTTCTCCTTCTCACTTCATCATCCAAGCTACCACAAATCCGACAATGACGCACAAGAGCATTACCCACTTATTGAGTTTCATTCATCTTAACCATCCCTCCAACTGTACAATTTACAGGAATATGCCCTCCCTCTAGTTCAATCCCTCCATCATCATCATTATCATCTCCATCATGAACATCCATTACTAAAATATTTTCAAGTTCAGCCACCTTCATCTGTAGAACGATCTTTTCACGCTTAAGAGTGTCCTTTTCACACTTCAAACTACTAATAAGGTCAGCAATCCTTGGATCTAGCAGATCATTGTCCCATTCCCAAAATTAATATATTTTACCCTATCGAATCAAATGGGGAAAATAATTTATTTGTAAAATTAAATCCCTAAAATCAAAAAGAGGCGAATCTGTGAAATTCATCTTACCTTAGTTTTGGAACATTTTGAGAAACGCCGACCAGCATTCACTGGAGTTGTAGCTGTAAATTGACTGGCAGCCATACCTCAGTGACAATTCTTTCTCGACCCAAAGGATGCACTCGACCCTTGACTCATATTCCTTCAATTGTTTGAGTAATATTTTTCGGAAGTAAAAATTGGGGATGAACTGTGATCAGTTTTGTTTTGGGTCAAATGGGTTAATTTGAGCGGGTCAAAAAAATATGGTTGAAATGTGATCAACTTTATTTTGACCACATGGCCGGTCAAATGGGTAATTTAAAATAGGTCGAACGGGTAATTTTAACGTGTTAAAAATGTATGGTTAATGATAGGCCACATGGACATATTTTAATTTACTGAACAACACGAGTTGTCTTCCATCAACCAGTAGTCGTTGATAAACTTATTTAATAGTCTATAAACCTTGAACCCTAACCCCAACCCTGAACCCCAACCCTGGACATTTAGCATAAATCAATAAACTTCCTTAATGGATGAGTGTCCACTTGAGGTTTCGTCCTCAACTCTTATTGCGGTCGAGGGTAAACTAATGGTCGAGAATTCACTAAAATAAGGATTACACCACGTTCGACCTTGGTTTTTTTTGATTTTATAACGTTTAAACATCTTATTAAACATCATGGAATATTTTAAGTTAGTATACATGGCGGTGTATTTCATCATACTAGAACAGGTAACAACTCAAAAGGCAAGACCTCTAAGTATAAGAGTGTTGTCCAATGAAGTATTGTCAACAAGTAATGCCTCTAAGTATGAATGTTGTATATTTAATATTGGGCTGTAATATCAACATGTGTTTATATTAAGTAATACTATGATCGATTATAATAGATATTTAATCTTCAAATTGCATACATTGCCTTAACATTAAGTTGTAATAATATTCATTGACTATATAATGAAAGTTGTTTTCACCAATTATAGGCTTAGGTTGATACCGATATAATTGATATATTATAGTAATCCATTTTATCCAATTCAAAGTTTGTAATTTGTTGAATTAGATGTTTACAACTTTAAGTTATTTACAAATAATTGTCATTTTTTGATTTAAGGTAACTAAATTAATACTTTACACTACGAACAACTAATAATCGAGGAACTAACCTTATGCATGTCCAATTTATGACTAATATACTATTCTTAATTTTTTACTATGAAAGTCTATTGATTTACATTTACAATGGATCTATAGGCTACCAGCGGGGTAGACTATATTCTACAGGTTTATTCAAAAACTGTTGTGAAATTTTCAATTCATTGGCGAAAAATTCAAATATTTGGAAGACTGAAATTTATAACCCCTGAGTTGTATGTTTCTATTGGAACCTCTTTATTTTATTTTGGAACCTTTTTGCACTTAAGTGTTGTCAAATGGAAAAAAATAACTAAAGCATAAAAATAAAAAACAGGGCAACAAAGTCAAAAAAATAGGGCAGAAAATTAAATAGACAAAAACTTAAGTTAAATATTTTAATTAAATAACTCCCCTCACATCAGCATACATTTTTCCCATTAACTAAAGAAAAAAAAAATTAAACTGCAGGGGAGAGGATCACAGGGAGGAGAATTTTCTAGGCTAACATAATGGTCAATATTTGCACCAACTCTACGAAGGAGAATCCACAAGATGCGTGCTATTCGGCGAATGCTCCTCTCTTACCTCACCCTGTCTTCTTGGATCTCTCTGATGAGCCTATCCAGTGATTCCCTGATGAAAATGGCGTCCATCCTTGGCCTTGGAGGTATTTCTCTGTTAAGTGATTAGTCTATTTGGAAGAATGATAAATAATTCCATCAGATCCAATGTATTTATAGGCAAAATTTGACACTAAATGGTGCCTTTCCATATGACTTCTCATAAATGACGTGATTGTTGAGTGTTTTGAGAAACGAATTGATGTTTTGAATCGGCATATTCGATGTAGTTCAATTAATTATACAAGTCCTTTTCATATTGGTTGCCAGTTGTTATTAATATTAGACATTAAATTAACAACCTAAACCAGTGGTTGTCAATAAACTACCTAAACCAGCGTAACAAGTTTTGGTTAAATTGAAAAAATCGATAGGAGTTGACAATAGAACATTGGTTGATTACAGGTGGTTGAAGATAGAATAAAGGGGGTTGATCATAAAATATGGAATAAGTATGTCACATGACTCCTTCTTAAAATAAGGAAGTTTATTCTAGATCATAGGTCTTCAAAAGATAATGTGAGTGGTTGATTCTAAAATAGTAGTCTATGAGACAACTTAGTCACATGACTCATTCTTAAAATACGGGGGTTAATTCTAGATCATAGGTCTATAATAGACAATGTGGGTGGTTGATAATAAAATAGTAGTCTATGAGACAACTTGGTCACATGACTCCTTCTTAAAATAAGAGAGGGTTGGCTCTAGATCATAGGCCTGCAATAGACAATGCTGGTGGTTGACTATAAAATAATAGTCTATGATGTACAATGCAGTAGTTGATAGTAGAAACAACAAGTCTAGTAGAAATAATAAGTGATTACAAACAACAAGTTTAGAATATTAAAAGAGTTAATTATCTTTATTACAACACCAGTAGCTAAAAGATCAAGAATGCTGCAACAATACTTTACAAATCGTTTTCTTGTGGCCAAGTTCTTTGCAAATGGAACATATATTTTTTCCTTTCTTCCTGCTGCCAGAAGAACTAGGTTCTAAAATGCTTGGCCATCTCTTAAACTTCCTTCTACCCTTTGTAGGCTCGAAATCGGGTGGAAATATTTTTGTGAATTGAATATCGTCAGGCACCACCCATTTCTCTTCTGTAGGGATTGCGTGATTGGTTTCTTCATATACAGGCAAATATGCTGAAACCTTATAGAACGGAGAGGAGTGATCGTAAATGGAGGAACCATATCCATTTCCAAAGCTCAATTTCCGAGTTGCCATTGCATGTGGGCAGGGTACTTTTTCCAAATCAAACTGAAAACAAGAACATGTGTTCAAATCTAGATCAACTACTGCATTCCTGTCGTGCTCGACGACGCTAAACTGATTATTCTCTAATTGATGCACTCGGAGCGCGTCGCCGACAACCATATTATTCCTAATATTCTTTTCAGCAGAAGGAACAAAGAGGGTCAAAACATTTTTCATTTCATTACGCCGCTCCTCAAATTTTTCTGCAAACTTTCGAATAATATGATTGAATAGGCCAATGATCGAGAAGTCTCTTTGATCCTTAAACATTGCGTTAAGCGATTCTACAATATTTGTTGTCAACACACCGTATCAGTTTCCTGGAAAGAAGGCCCTGCTCCACTTTTGAAACCCAATTTCATACGCGAGGCAGTTAGCTACTTCCCTGCTTTTATCACGCAATTGCTGAAAATGGTCAAAAAATTCCTCAGTACTGTATGACTGTGCGGCAGAAAAAATAATGCTTAATAAAAATTCCACAATGAAACCTCTTGCGCATATTTTCAGCAATGCGACGCTTGCAAAACTCATGATGAGCGACAGTAAAACCTTTTTTGAAGCCATTCCCAATAGACAGATGTCGATCAGAGATAATGCACAATTCATCACTGTCATCAACAATGTGCCGCAACTGTTCAAAAAAGTAGGTTCGAGAATCATCGCACTCTTTATTGACTACACAGAACACAATTAAAAAAAAATGTGATTCTCTGTATCTTGTGCCACAGCAGACAACAATCAATCTCCATACCTGCCACTCAGAAATGTCCCATCAACAACAATAACCTTTCTCATATGTGTGAATCCCTTAATGAAAGCTCCAACAGATAAGAAAATATATCGAAAATACAATTTATGATCAACCTTCAAATCAACAAATACTTCCTTCATTATAGAATAACATAACACAACAATACGCTTCCAACAAAGCATACCCCTCTTTCTGAGTACCCTAATCATAGCCTTAGCTATTTCACCTACCTTCCAGCTCCTCCAATAAGTAAGATTTTGATTAAAATCTGCAAAAATAGCATCTTTCAGATTTGACGAGGATGGGCCTTTGCCATTAACATACCGTTCTTGGTAATATGCACCCAAAGTCTTTGACGACGCGTTAGGATGACGACTTGATATGTGTTGTACCCCGCATGTGTGATCGTCATGGTACTTGATAATATAAAATCTATCAGAACTATCATACTTTAAAGCACGTAACTTCCAGGGGCAACTAACATCTCGGCATGCTACTGAAGTTAATTTATACTACTCTTCCTCATCCGAAACGTAAAATGCATTTTCACAAAAGCAATCTCCAACTGTTTCATTAGATCCAATTTGTTGTCAAAATATTTCCCAAGGAAAAAACCTGTACCATCGGGGTGGCTGTGTTGTATAGCTAACGAGTCTACCAAGCCTCCATCTCCAGCTTCCCGACTAACAATATCTGGGAGCTCTTCCGCTCCATCTGCATCTTCCGGACCATACGAGTTCATATCATTGTCACCAAAATCATGCAAGTCATCACTAACTGGGAGCTCTTCCGCTCTATCTGCATCTTCCAGACCATACGAGTTCATAGCATTGTCACCAAAATCATGCAAGTCCTCACTAAATCCACCGAAGCCATTTTTCACCATTCTTTCCTCTTCTACTTTTGAAATTGGTGGCTGTATTAGTAGTGGTGGTGGTGGTAGTGCAGCTGCAATATTTGAACCTTGATGAGACCTTTCAACAGGAATTTCATCCCCTTCTTCAAACTCATTTTCAGCCACAAATATCTTTAAACAAGGCCTCATACCATCAATTGTAACATCAAGGAGGTGCGATTGCAAATCATTGTCATTCTTAATGAAAGAAGGAGGAATCTTATCCCTCTTCGGTGCAGAGCTAAGCATATATGTAATATTCAAATTCCTCGGGGAACATGTTAGTTTTTCACGTTTAATGATGACATCAACAAATTCGTCAAATGTACAATTGCTAGGTATACAGATAGATACTGTAACCTTTGTATAAGAATTCCAATTCTAACTAGTTGGCCCCTCAACCCATTCACCAGAATATAGACCGCATATTAATATATAATCTCCCATCAGTCTATTGTGAACCAGTGATCTATTGTACACTAGTGGTCGAGCATTGTGCAGATTGTTTTTTTGCAGAAACACAAATTAACAATGACGACGAAGATGAAATGAAAACACTTACCAGATGAAAGAGGTACACAATATACCACTTGGAATGAATTATCAATCCAATGTACCACCAATTTCTTCCCCAAATTCGACGGATCCGAAAAACCCCCAATTTGTCGATTTCTTCAAAGTAAATGATAAATCAAAAGAATGAAGTTTTGGGAGGAATAGAGAAGAAGGGAGACGACCTCTGTGTGTTGAATGCAAGAAAAATAAGTTGCACTGGAGGAATCAGCCGTGGGAAATGGGGATTGGGGCGGCAGATGAGGGGGAAGGGATGATTTTATTTTATTTTTTAAATATCTGGTAATATTACATTTATATAGATTGGGGTCAAAGTGTAATAACTAAAATTTTAGGGATAAAGACTCAACTTTCCCCTCACTTTATAATCCCACTTAACTATTTATTAAGCATGAAGGTCAATCCTACAATAAATTAAACCTGAAGGTCACTTGGCCAATTCAAGTTTGAAAAGAGGTCACCTCGCCAACTATCCCTATAAACTAGGTAAATAAATTTAAAATTTCGTATATATGTAAAAAAAAAAAAAAAAAAAAAAAAAAAAAAAAAAAAAAAAAAAGAGTCCCAAGACTTATTTAGCGGGCGTTTGGACATAAGAATTATAAAATTTCAAAAAAAACTGAAAACAAATTTCAAGTGAAAATGGTATTTGAAATTGGAGTTATGTTTGGACATGAATATAATTTTGGGTTGTTTTTAAATTTTTGTGAGTGATTTGAGTGATATTTTTGAAAAATAATTTTTTTTAGTTTTTCAAATTTTCGAAAAATTTCAAAATTCATATTCAAGTGAAAATTAGAAATTTTATGGCCAAACATTGATTTCGAAAAAAATAAAAAAATTTCGAAAAAGTAAAAAAATTGTTATGTCCAAACATAATTTTAGAGCCCGTTTGGACATAAGAATTTTTTCACTTTTTTTAGAAATTTTTTTATTTTTTTTCGAGATCAGTATTTTGCCATAAAGTTTCCAATTTTCAATTGAATATGAATTTTGAAATTTTTTCAAAACTTGAAAAACTCCAAAAAATTATTTTTCAATTTTTTTTCACTCAGATTATTCACAAAACTTCAAAAATAATCCAAAATTATATCCATATCCAAACACAACTCTAATTTTCAAATATAATTTTTACTTAGAAATTTTTTTTCGCTTTTGTTTTGAAATTTTACAATTCTTATATCCAAACCCATACTAAGTGTAGTACTTATGTGGAAAAAGAAATAAACTCGGACATATTTGCCGTCTCAAAACTCGAAACTCAAAATCTCCGGCAAGAGCGATAAAGACAACAAATGAATCCATTTCCTCCGCCGCCACCACTACCACCCCCACCGTCCTCCACCTTTCCGCCGCCGCCGCCACCACCATACTTTCACCAGTCCACCCCTACTCCTACTCCCACCACTACTCCTCCTGCATACGATCTTCGCACTGCTCTCTCAACCCTCACGTCTCTCCTCAGTCTCTCATCAACCACTCTCCACTCTCTCTCTTCCCTTCTCCCCACCCCGCTCTCCCCCTCTCAAATCCTAAACCCATGCCCTTTCAATCTCAACCATCATCTCCCCCTTTCTTCTCTCTTCTCTCACTCCCTTCATTGCCCAACACCTATTCCCTCCAATCACATCGAAACCCTAACCCAAAACCTCAAATACCCCGACACCCTTCAGTCCTCCTCAAATCCCAACCCCTTTACTTTACCTTTACACGATTCACAATCTGACCTTTGCTTCTCTCTCGAAACATACCTTGATTTTGATACTGAAAATCCCACTTCCTTCTATTCTGATTGTCCTGGTGTTGTTTCTTTCCCCATTAAAGGTGAAAATGCTGCTCCTCCAATGCTCACTTTGCCTGCTGTTTTATCTTCAGAATGTGCTAATTTTGGTAAAAATTTGATGTCGTTTTCAAATGAATCGATCAGGTTTCTTCCTTCGGAGTTATATGCAATTATGAATGAAACTAATTGTTGGAGTGATTTTCCATTTATGTATTCATATCGCGTTCTTCGTGTGATTTTGGGATTAGGGATGAGCAGTGTCGAGTGTTTGTCTACATGGGTAGTAGCTAATTCGGGTAGGTGTTATCGTATTGTGCTCGATTTAGCAATGAGGGATCATATGCTTGTTCTGTTTAAGCTTTGTTTGAAGGCTATTATTAGGGAAGCTATTGATTTAGCTAGTACATTTTACAATGAAGAAGCTGAGGGATCGGATTTGAGTGGACGGAGTTTTAAGTGTCCGGTACTAGTTCAGGTTTTGATGTGGTTAGCAACCCAGCTTTCTGTGTTGTATGGGGAAACGAATGGGAAATTATTTGCTATCAATATGCTGAAGCAATGTATCTGTGATTGGGCATTTAGTTCTTGTATGTTCAATGAATCTACTGATACGAAAAGAGGGGATGGAAATGTTGAAGAGTCACAGGAAAGTGGTGAGCCACTTAAAAGTAGGATAGAGAATGAGGGGACAAATATATCAGATGAAGCACTCTGTAAAAGCCCGATTTTTGTTTCCCAAGTTGCAGCAGCTGTTGCAGCGTTGCATGAACGATCTATGCTTGAAGAAAATCTCAAAGCACTGAGGAATTTACCATCACTTCCAGCTTACCAACGGTACATTAACTTCACTCTTCTTAGTATGGTAGTTTGAAGATGTCCATTTGTGTAGATGTGCATCACAATATTCGTCTAAATGTTGAATGGTATTTGACATTTAAGTTTTCTGTTAGGCAAGTCCATGCTTTTTATTTAGAAGAATTGTTTATGCATAGATGTCAAAAGCTGGGTGTTAACTTGGTTCAAATTGGAAGTTGTAATTCATGAATGATGTTTCCACTAAGCCTAGAGTTTGGGCCGGAATTATAACGGCCATCCATCTAGATGCATATGGCTGTAAGATAAAGATTAAAGGAGGAAAAGCCTATTTTGACCTATGCAGAAAGTTGTATCTGGCTCGCAAATGATTCACATGCAGATGAAAAGAGTTTTTTTTGCCAGGCCTTTGGTCTGGTGGAAAATACTGAAAATAGTGATATGCAAAGATAAAGCGTCTACAATATGTTCAAAGGTGTAGGAGTCCTTTATTGCTGTTTTTCTAATCTCACTTTTCTCTTCAAGCATGAAAAGGTTATACTTTATGTATCAGTCCTAGAGTATATAGTTAAGCAGATCTCTTTGCAGATCGATGGAGCACTCTTACATTTCAAATAAAGCAGACGAGGAACGGCAAAAACGCCCTAATTACAGAGCTCTGCTTGAACATGATGGATTTCTCTGGCAGCATTCGCGAAATAATCAGGTATGTTTGCTTGTCAAAATAATACTTTATCATTGCAGATCTTGAAGCAGTAACTATATTTGACCCCTATAAAGATGACAACCAGTATAGAATCAACGTTTAGGATAGTAGTTTTTGAAAGTACCATCTGCTTTTGGGTGGTAAAACATAAATGAGCATTTTTTGCATATATTTCTGTTTTCTTGCCCTTCAGTTCTTCTTGGGAAGATTCCACCTAGTAGAGTACAACAAATGAAAAAATCTTGATGCTTTCTGGTCTTCTCTTTCCTCATTATTTTTTCTAGCACTGACTCGAGCCATGCTGCCAAAGAGACTGTAATTTTTGAAAGTTCAATGTGTTTATTAAAAAAATACAAAACTGGAATGTATTTCAAGCTGTTTTAGCCTGGCGAGAAGTTACGAATTTATTGCGCTTGGTCAATTTTTTATGGAATTGAACAGTGTGAGAGCTCTTCTGCTAGTGCGAACAGTTGCAAAGGACCAATTTATGCTTATTGAACAATAGCAATGTGATATAATTAAAGATCACTTAATACATCTATGGAGTTTGGAGGAATTAGAAAAAGTAGTCTTGGCACTCTGTGATCGATTAGCATTTTCATTTCTGGTATAACATATACCTTAATCTGGTTATTATTTTATACTAGATGCAAAATGGAAGAACTTATATCGGTACAAGGTATACATGTACTATTAATCTCAGTTTAACAATCCCTGCATCAGAATCTCAACTAGTGCGAACCAAATGACCCATGAGTTTGGCATTTACAACTCCTTTAGAAATTTTAAGTGAGACAAATTTGGGTTGTCACTTGTCACTGAATTTGAGGATGAACAATCACGAAATATCGTATGAATGCATCTCTTATAAAATATAAACTCATATTTAAAGATAATTTTGATAACTATCTGGATTTACATAAAATGACTGATTTTAATGAAAATTTCAAACAAAGAATATTAATATATTGAAAATTAGCGATCTTATGGATGTTAAAAACTGATAAACTTATGTTTAGCTTCCCGTCTAGATAATGAACAAGACAGATGATTTCATCCTTAGCGATAAACACTCAGATGATAAAACCCACTGTCTTGAGTCCTTAAACTTCAGTGACTTAAATTCTTTGTGATGGGAAATTTACTTAAGATTGGCAAGTTAAAATGTTATTATATGTAATTCAACCTTGCATCAGTATTTTAGTCTTATCAATTAGACGCTTACTGATTTCTTAATCTTTGGCATGACATTTTCAGGACACAAATAGAACAAAGACTAGAGAGGAATTATTAGCTGAGGAAAGGGATTACAAACGTAGAAGAATGTCATATCGTGGAAAAAAGTTGAAACGGTCAACAACACAGGTACATTTTACTTCTTCAGATTTGACCATATGTTTTTCTCTATCTTCGTAAAAAAACCATATGTTTTTTCTCTGTTTATAGTCATGTATATATCCATTGACCTGAGTCTGAGTTTGTTCCTTCACTATATTTATTGCTAAGAAGATTTCTCTTGATGCCCATCTGATAGTGCAGAAAGCTTTATAAACTTAATAATTTGCTCCCATTACAAATCTCTATCTTAATGTCTACTCATTTTGTGTGTTAAGCTATGACTTATTTATGCTCCTTTTCATTTTTACATCTTTATTGCTGTCCTCTTCTACCTTTAGGTTATGAGGGATATAATTGAGGAATACATGGAGGAAATCAGGCAAGCAGGTGCCATCAATTGCCCAACAAAAGGAGCTGAAGAGTCCAAACTTCCACTTTCTGCAACTTACAGAACGGATACATCTTATATGGATAAAGCTGAGTTTGGAAAGAGGCAGCTGAATTCATCTGCTTTAAGCAAAGGAAGGGAAGGTGGTTATGGGAAAGAGTTTCATACTGATGGAGAAGTCCATTCAGCAGAATTCAAAGATGATTATTCTGCAAATATGGAAAGAGGATCTCGGTCGCATCATCGACTTTTAGTGGCAGAGAGAAGTAATGGGAGGTCCAGACAGGACCCAAAAGATTACTCTAGAAGCCCAAATCAGCGAGAGGGTAGTGCCTACTCACGTGAATCAACAATCACCCAAGAGAAGAGAGACTATTCCAAAGATTCTAGAGATAATTTTTCCAGAAGCTCCAGCAGAAGCTACCACAAATCACATGAGAAAAGTAGTTCATGTAGGGAAAGAAGTGATCGTAATTCTGACATCAAGAAACGGAAGACAAGGGATGCTTCTGTTGATTTTGATGACCGATATGATCCATCAAAATCTTAGAAGAACTTTGAGAAAATGTCTGAGTGTTGCAGCTACTTCAAGCAGTCGGGCTAATCTGGAGATGTGTTGACATTGGGACGGTATCACCTTCAGAATTTCCTGCGACTGGTTCTTTTTGTGTCTACTGGTCAAATCGACTAGGTAAGCGACTATGATTTTGACTAACCTGGATGTTTAATTTATTTTGCTTTTTCAGGAGAGACTGAATGTTTTTCCTGGTTGTTTTTTTCCCATTAAACCTTGCAGTAGGAAGTCATGCAGGTGTCTGCAGTCTATCCTCTTCTGTATCCTTCCATGTATCCTTTATATTAATTCTTTTTGACATTGTCTTCTTAGCTTTACTATTGTTCTTCCTTCTTCCCCCACACAAAGAAATGAATTCTCTCTTGGATTTTCAAGGGGGCTTAGTTTTATGGCTAGAGAACCAGTGGTAACGTTCTTCCTGTGCACATCATATAGTAAGTTAGTTTTATTTGTCATAATGCTGGCTATAACTTGACCTAAATTGTAATTATTTGTTGCGGAGTTCCTTTTTCTTTCTGAGCACAATTGTGCATAGCTCTAATGCTTAAACTTTTGGTTTGCTTGATTGTGGCTTCAGTGTACAAGCGTAAACACAATTTATTAAGGAAATATTTGCTTGGTTCACAACTGGGTGAAGTATCTGGTTCTTGGGGCCTCAAAACATAGCTTCAAGCATGTTGAAGATCCAGTTATGAGATTTGCTTGTATAACTGTTCAGTACTATACAGGAATATTGCATAGTACTATGGTAGCAATATTTTTTAACTTTACATATGGGTAAGTATCATGTATACTAGTCATATTACGGAGGACATACTGGGTAGAAGACTATGCTTGATGCAGCTTCAGGTGTAGTAGACCTTTCTAGTTGCAATCTTATTGTTTTTGTACTTTCAATGGTAGACTTGGAAAGTGGGGCAGTCACACCCAATCTAATTGTTTTTTGTAGTTTTAATGGCAGAACTCAGAACACACATCAAAAGATGGATTCTTGTAGATAGTCAATAGTAACACACAGCTGAAGCCTTCAGCATCTCTTAATCAGTTGTAGTTGTTTTAGACAGGTCTTATAGGATTCATAAGTTAATGGTACCTGAATTCTGCGAGTTAGAAGAAACTAGTTTTTTTCTTTTAGGAATCTTTACCTGTTGATGAATAAGTGTTGAATAAAAAAGCATTTCAAGAATGAGATCAAGATGCTGATGCATGTTCGACTGCTGTATATATTCTTGCTTTGTTTAATTGTAAATCGATGTACTTGTCAAATAAAAAAATATATTGTGCGTCGATTTACAAGTATAAACACAATTTAATTTAAGTTTGTCTTAGTTCACATGGTTGGTTCACATCTAGTTAACAGGCTTATGTCTGTTGAAGATGACATCAAATATTATAAAGGATATTACACAAGTTTCATGGTTGCAGTGTTTTTTGCTAAATGCATATGGGCAAGTATCGTGTACATCAGATATGTTGCAGAAGGTTCTAGGTAGAAAATATTCACCTGATACTGGTTCAGGTGTAGAGTTTTCATGTTGCTATCTAAATGTTTTTGTACTTCAAATTGCAGACTTAGAAAGTGGCGGAAACAACAAAAGATGGATTTCCTGAAGAAGTCATTAAACTAAGGCCCAACTGTAGCCTTGGGAGCTTGAAGTATTTCCTAATTAGTTTACAAAGGATTTAGTGGATACCAAAATTAGGCATTATTCCTAGTATACAATTTAAATGCCTTGGGATCATTCATTTACACACGAAAATATGTTCCTTGTTTAGTATGTACGTTTGCCTACCAATTGCATCGATTATTTTGACATGTATCTTCCAAGTTTGTATCTGTTACTTTATACGGGCTGTTGCTTTATATATCATATTCATTGGAGTCCTGATTGTGCTTTATTTTATTATTGGAAATGCCTAAATTTTACTTTCTCCGTTCATAATAAGTGACGTTTTTGGCCTTTGGCACACTCCTTAAGAAAATACTAACCCCTAGAGAAAAAAAAAATGGTATTTTGACTAAATTATCCTTAATTAAAATTTGAATATTGTTGACTTGACACATTGAGATATGTAAATAAGGGCAAGTTTTGAAAAAATAAAGTTAATTTCTTCTTGATTATGTAAAAAGATACTTATTTTGAATCAAAATAAAAAAGGCAAAAAAATCACTTATTATGGACCAGAGAGTTTATAATCTGATAATGCTTTCTCTAAGGCATGTTTCTTATGTTTATATAGAAGAAACATGCTCTATCCCAGTGTTTGCACTCCCAGTCGTGTTTGGTGGTATGTAAATTTTTATTTGTAAATACAACAACTAGGTGTTCGTCGGTCGGTACGGTACGGTAATTAATATTTCGGTTCGGTATTTTCGGTATACGATTTTTTGAAACGCTATATCAATACCGTACCTAATTAAATTTGGTATGGTTATGCTTTTTCCCTTTCGGTTTTGGTACGGTAACTTCGATTTGCTCGACTTGAATATTGACATTGACAAAATCTTTGTCCAAAATTAGCAAGTATTAATCCATAGAGAGAAAAAATAGGTACATAAGAGAATAAATTTAATTATTGAAAATATCTTATTACTTGCTTAAGATAATTGCTTAACTTAGAGAATACAACAAACCTGAAGAATAAGAGTCAGAATTTGCAGTCTAACTTGTTCCTTTATTTTTCTCAAGAAGTATATGGGTTTTAGTATCAGCCGCATCATGAAGGCTAAAGAAAAGTATTATGTAACTTAGTACGTTATAATCAATAAAATGTGTATTATGTTACTTAGTATTTATTACAGTTTGGTATCGGTATTATTTTTTAAATACCAAATTACCATATCTAATACCAAACGTTTTAAAAATTTAAACCAAATATCAGAATACCGAATACCAAGTGCCGAAATTTTGAATTTCAGTACGGTAATTCGGTATCGATATTTCGGTATTATTTTTTAAAATACCAAATAGTGAAATACCATATTTCATACCAAATTTTTTAAAAACGTGAACCAAATACCATACCAATTAACAAGATACCGATTACCAAATGCTAAAATTTTTGATTTCTGTTCGATAATTCGGTATTTACCAAAATATGATTTAGCATGACTTGCTAGAACATCGGAAACATAATTAAATAGCCTACCAAATTCCCATATCTAATATCAAATGTTTTAAAACCTTAAACCAAATACCAAAATACCGAATATCAAGTGCCGAAATTTTGAATTTCAGTACGGTAATTCGGTATCGATATTTCGGTATTATTTTTTTAAATACCAAATAGTCAAATACCATATTTAATACCAAATTTTTTAAAAACGTAAACCAAATACCATACCAATTAACAAGATACCGATTATCAAATGCTAAAATTTTCGATTTCGATACGGTAATTCGGTATTTACCAAAATATGATTTAGCCGACTTGCTAGAACATCGGAAACATAATTAAATAGCCTACCAGAACTATGTAGGATGGCAAACGAAGAACAACCACAAAAGTATCTGTAGTCGTTAGTGTTTCCCCAACGTTTGAAGCATGTGTATGTCTTTTTTCAGGGTATTTCTTTTTTGGTTGCTTTTTCCAACTTCAATTTCATAATAGCATTGACGACATTATATTCTACACATCTTAAATTCAACTTCATATATTTTGAAAGAAGTGGTGCTGTCAATTTTGGACTATGAGTTTAGCAAGTTAGTGGTAAGATAAAGTTATGGCATGGTACTATTTAATTTCTTGATACTCAACTCACTGAACGTTCTGGCCAAATCGAAGGTTAGCACGCTCGTCTTGTTAAAGATAGTATATCGATGATATTGTCGTCCTCCGTTTCTTCTGCATCATTTAATATTTTGATAAAAAAATGGACCTTGGGTTTAACTCTAACCTCAAAATTTGAGTTCAGTTAGTTAAGTCTCTGGGGGCATTTACTTTAGAAACTTTCTATGGTCGATCATGCCGTTAACAATTTTGCTTCTTTTTTTTTTTTTTTAGGTCAGGTAGTTGTTTACACTGCTCAAGTCAACTTTGAAAATGAATTAATCTGTTTTAATTTCTGATTAAAATAATTATAGAACGCAATAGTAGTATATATCGAGAAGTTAGACGCTACTGAGGTGCAAGCTTGCACGCCTATAATTTAATATATTTGACTTATATTAAAGTGTAAGTTGTGTGTTTATCCGAATTTAATAAATTTTGTTCGAACCTTGTATATGTATTAAGAAATTAATTGAATAAAATGAATTTCGAATCGAATAAATCAAATTAGTTGTGATAAAATTTTATATTTAAACTCATAAAGTTCAAATTCTAAATCCGCTATGATGCTTTCGTCAAAAGTTGTGCTTGGTTCATTTTATGCGTTTTAAACATTTTTGTTAAATCACTTTGAGAAAAAAATCAAACCACTTAAGATTACATGAAAAATATTGTATGGTAGTTGTAATTATTCTTTTACTTAACAATGTCATTATATTACGTGTTGAAATCTTGGTCAAAGGATCACTTTAATTTGTCACTGCTCGATATCCAAATACGACAGTCGTGAGATGGATGGAATGCTTACATGATTACTAAATTTTACTCACTACAATAATAAAGATTTAAAAACTTAGTTTGTCACATTACAGTAATATCATTATCCTGCAAAACTTTAAACTTTGGCATTTGGAACGTGGATAACATAATATTGAAATCCAATATTAAAAAACTGATCATCCGTCAATCAATGTAAAATACTCCAACAAATTTGTTTAAGAGTATCTTGACGAAATTTTAGTGCACCTGATTCTTTAAAGCAAAAGGTGGCATATAATTTGTTGATGTAAAGTGTTTATTTGATTTTGAAGTCAAAGCAGTGCTAGAAATTTGTTATAACTCAATGTTGCAATACCCCGGGAAACTACCCATAAAATTATAATAAATTGTAAAATAGAGACTCAAAAACCCAAAAGACTTCGATACAATTTTCTCTGAAAGTAGTGTACTACGTGTCTACTTTGTTAATATTCTTCGCCCAAATGGGGGGTTACATTTTAGTTTGTAGTAAGTTTCTACAATATATTCTTTTCACACAGCATTCATGATAGAATCTGAGATCTATCCACACAAACTTAGATTCTTACACATGCAATTGATGAATCGTGAGATTGGGAAAGATCGTAGAGAGAGAAAGTAGAGAGAATTTTATTATATTGTTACTCAAAGAATGAGAATACACTGTATTTAACTAATATAACAAGCTCAGTTAGTCATGTGAGGAGCATTGTGAAATTACAAAATTACCCTTCACTTAGTACACTAAACTATACCCCTCACTCAATACTCCCCCTCAAGCTGGTGGGTGAAAAATATCGAACACACCAAACTTGCATAAGAGAAGTTGATGTTGAGCAGTAGGCAAGCCTTTGGTCAATAAGTCTGCAAGTTGGTGAGTGGAGGGAACATGATGAGGAAGAATAAGCTCACACTTGATCTTTTCTCGCACAAAATGACAATCAAGCTCAATGTGCTTGGTGCGCTCATGAAAAATTGGGTTGCTAGCAATTTGAATTGCTGCCTTGTTATTGCAGAACAGAAATACAGGCTGCGATATGGTGAGGCCTAACTCCTGTAACAGACCGACAATCCAAATAACTTCAGCTACTGCTGCTGCCATGCTCCTATATTCAGCTTCTGCAGAGCTTCTACTTACAATGTGCTGTTTCTTAGACTTCCATGAAATGAGAGCCTCCCCCAATTTGACAACATATCGTGTGACAAGCCTCCTTGTGTTAGGGTAGGAGGCCCAATCTGAGTCACAATAGGCAGATAAATTGGTGATAGGACTAGTAGGCAATAACACACCTAAACCAGGTGAACCTTTGAGGTATTTAACCACTCTGAAGGCTGCCTTCAAGTGTGATTGTTTAGGTCTCTGCATGAACTGGCTTGAACTTTGAACTGCAAAGCTAATGTCTGGCCTAGTGATGGTGAGGTACAAGAGCTTCCCAATTAATTGCTGGTATGCTGTGACATCTTCAAGTTCTAAATCACCAGTTTTTCCTACATGAACATCATAATCAACAGTGGTCAATTTTTGATTAAGTTCCAAGGGTGTCTTAGCAGGTTTACATCCACTCAAAGCAACCTGAGAAATAAGATCCAAAGCATACTTTCTTTGGTTAAGCAATGTCCCATTTTTTGATCTCAGCACTTCAATTCCAAGAAAGTATCTCAATTCTCCAAGATCTTTAACCTTAAATCGATTGTGCAGGGTCATTTTGGCATCTTCTATCAGTGTTGGATGACTACCAGTAATCAGCAAATTATCCACATAGATGAGGATGACCACCAAACCATCTCCTTATTTTTTGGTAAACAGAGAGTGATCAAAGGCACTTTGATTGTATCCACTCTCTATCAAAGCTTGATATTCCATTATCTGGAGGTTTGTTTAAGCCCATACAAAGACTTCAGAAGTCTACATACTTTGTTCTCCCCCTGTTTGGTAAACCCTTGGGGCAAACTCATACAAACTTCTTCATAAAAATTACCCCGTAGAAAGGCATTATTAACATCCATTTGATACAAAGGCCAACCTTTGGAAGTGGCTATACTGATAACAAGTCTCACCGTGACCATTTTGGCCACATGTGAGAAAGTATCATGATAATCAAACCCTTCCTTTTGATTGTATCCTTTGGCAACCAAACGAGCCTTGAATCTTTCTACTTCTCCATTTGCTTTGTATTTGACTTTGTAAACCCATTTAGATCCAATGGCTTGATTTCCTATAGGTAAATCAACCAGTTCCCAAGTGCCATTGTCGTCAAGTTCTTATATCTCCTGATGCATGGCTTCAACCCATCTGTCATCCTGAACTGCCTCCTTG